CACACACACACACACACACACTGACCCATTTTCAGTAATGAGGGGCTTTTATGCCTCTGAGGCTTTTGTTAAAACACACACTTCTACAATCTGCTGTGTGTGTGAACAGATCTCTCAGCACAGAGACGTGTTTGAGTGCTTCGTGTTTCCACGTCTCATTACTTCCTTTAAGAGACATCGTGCGTAGAAACCAACAGACCAACAACACTGGTTATCCACTGGTCGATACACCCTACTGTTTCTAAAATGTTCCGTCTGTGCCGAGTGTATTGTGTTCGAAACTGTTGTACTACTAGGGTTGCAAAATTCCGGGAATTTTCAAAGATGGAAACTTTCCACGGGAATTAACGGGAATTTATGGGAATAAACTGGGAATTTTTCAAACTGAAGGTTGGCTCTTCATAGGGAACTTAAATATAGTTGGGGAAAGTATATTTTAGCATAATCTTGACTAAAACAAACATGCCATTCAAGTACACTTGAATATCCATGCCATAGCACACTGCTTACTGCATGGCTATTGAGACCACACAAAGGTTCGCAACAGGCTCACAAATGTGAGAGTGAAAAAACTGGTTGGCATTCGGGCAAACCTAAGGCTCTTTGAGCCGGACACAGAGCCATCCTCAACAAGGCTGGACAGTGACACTGAAGAGGAAGAGTGATGTTGAAGAGCCCGTTGACTGAAAGGGTTTAGCCAAAATGCAGAGGGTTGCTTGAAGGAAGGTTTGCATGTTTAATGGGACTTTGTGGAGGGAGAGGGGCTCTTTTCATTTAACATGTTGAATGGGACTTTGTGGGGATTTTTGTTCATTTTTTAATGAGTGGGGTTGGGGGGGGGATGAGTAACATTTAACTCAACATTCCTGTTTTCGTTCTTCAATGACACAAATAATTGTTCAATAAAATAATTAAAACTTGTTCTGTTCTACTTAAAAAAACATTCTTTTAAAGAAAATCTGTTGAAATGTCATGTTTTTTTGTTTAATTTTGCATCGAATATTTCCAAAATTCCCCAGCTTAACTTTCCGGAGATTTACCGAAAACTTTCCGCCCCTTTGCAACCCTATGTACCACGTCATCAGTTTTGACCTGGAAGTGTGTGTGAGCAGTATGACCAGAGGCCTGTACTACGAAGCTGGATTTTCGCTAAGCCGGCTGACTTCAGGGAAAACTCGGGCTTTCCGGTCCTACGACGCTGGTTCTCTTTTTAGCGGGCTAGATCTCCATGGTAACTTATGCTGAGCGGCTAACCTCCCCGGGAGGAGGTTAGGTGGCAGGCTAAGAGATCAACTCAGTGAAAGCACCGCCTGCTGACCAATCAGAGCTCCGTGTGCGGAGTTTAAAGCGATCAATTCATATTACAGGATAGAGGAAATACAGAAAAACTGCCGTTGCAGGAAAGACGGCCGGCAAAAATCAACTGACTGTGTGAACGTGAACATTAATAGAATATCCCCTCCCATCTTCAGAGCAATCTGACATTTATAACATTAGCGTTAAGAAAGCTTACTTAAATATCTGCCACGACATAAGTAACCGGATCAGAGTAACATTAAGTACAGTCCGCGGCACTGTGAGTGCAGACGTCGATGTGTGCCATTATCATTCATATCATATCACATCATAATGTATCATATATTTCCTTATCTGAATCAGCTTCTTGAGCCGTATCTGGCCGTGCAACACTCACAGTGTCACATACTGTATGCAGAAGTATTATTTTAAGCAACACATTAAGTTGACGAAACACTCGAGTCAAATGTAATTAAAGTCAGATCCACTCGTGTCTTGGACGGGGCAGTGATATCATAAACCTGTTAATGTACGCATTCAAACACTTTTTCTGTTACCAGCTGTATTCACCTTGCAGGTGCAGCTATGTGGCTTTTATCCTGGATAAAGTGTTTAAGTCATGGATGTTTAAAGTTTAACTTCTTCATATTTGACTAATATTAAAGTTCACTTTTCATTCAGGAAGTATGACGCTGCGCTGTCAGTACGCTTCTCCATGTTTGTGATTGGTCGAATGCTCCAAATACCACCCCTTTCATGTGAACGCGCACCTAACTAGATAGGACACGGCTGGCTTGAGTTAATGAGTTGATAACCAGCGTCGTAGTACAGCTTAGCGAGAGCGCATATGTTTTGAATTGGGCCAACCGGCTAACTCATATATAACCTCATATCCAGGTTAGGTTGAACCGGCTTCGTAGTACAGGCCTCTGGTGAGAGCCTGTTACTGGAGTGTGTCCACGTTCAAACACACACACTCAGAACAGCATTGAAATTGTATTTTGGGACGTGGACACTGACCTCAGAATCTAGGGTCCTTCACCCAACTTAACAAAACAACAAAAAACAACAACACACCTGGAACAGGATGCTGACACACACCAGGGAGTCTGAGGAGTGGGCAGTGAAGAGCAACACAGCGTGGGTCATAATGAAACCATGCAGAGGAAGCTAGGAAACACAGCCTGATGTTTCTGACTCTTTCACGGTATAGGGAATATAAAATATGCTATAATAGGTAAGTCTCTCATTTCCTTTCCACTCGTATCCTCTTCTCTCCTCTCGTTGACTTTTTCTCGTGTCTCCTAGTTTCTTCCTCTCTGATTTCCTTTCCTCTCCTCTCATTTCCTTTCCTCTTGTTTCCTCACCTCTCCTCCTGTCTTTTTAATTGTATAGCAGATTTACTGCAGCATTGCAAAGACACACACACACACACACACACACACACACACACACACACACACACACACACACACACAGTACTCAGATGCTTTACTTAAGTACAAGTAGAAATACTATTTTTAATAATACTCCATAAAACTGCTGCTCCCTGCTGCTTTAATGGCTTGTTAACACCAGCTGATTGACACCACTTAGGGTATGAAATACACACACACACACACACACACACACACACACACACACACACACACACACACACGAGGAAAAATCCCAATGAAGGGCTTTTTCTCCCCAGTTCATTATGAGTCTCCAAGAAGAGCAAATGAATTTAAAATGTGCAGACTCATTAGACGTGTGAGCTCGTTATAAAAACTACATTTTGCTGATCCATGCGTCGCCATCACACACCTTATTTCTCACACTCGGCTGATGTGCAGCACTAAATACCGCGGGAGGATTTGGGGGCCAAAGAGGCAATACCAGTAAACACACTAATTAGATTACACTGCTTTCACTTACAGAGGATTACTCCTGATCTCTATCTTTACAGAGAAATATCACTTTATTCGCCACACTTTAAATAAGTCTCACACGGCTGAAGCTGTGGTGACTCATGGTTGTTAGAATTAGCATTTTCCACCTCGTGAAGCTTCTAAGGAAATGTGTTAAAGTGGACATTTTGTCAGGTATATCAGTATGTAGTGTCTCTACTTTAAAGAGTCCTCTCCTGCTGATGTTCAGGTGTATATCAGTATGTAGTGTCTCTACTTTAAAGAGTCCTCTCCTGCTGATGTTCAGGTGTATATCAGTATGTAGTGTATCTACTTTAAAGAGTCCTCTCCTGCTGATGTTCAGGTGTATATCAGTATGTAGTGTCTCTACTTTAAAGAGTCCTCTCCTGCTGATGTTCAGGTGTATATCAGTATGTAGTGTCTCTACTTTAAAGAGTCCTCTCCTGCTGATGTTCAGGTGTATATCAGTATGTAGTATCTTTACTTTAAAGAGTCCTCTCCTGCTGATGTTCAGATGTATATCAGTATGTAGTGTCTCTACTTTAAAGAGTCCTCTCCTGCTGATGTTCAGGTGTATATCAGTATGTAGTGTCTCTACTTTAAAGAGTCCTCTCCTGCTGATGTTCAGGTGTATATCAGTATGTAGTGTCTCTACATTAAAGAGTCCTCTCCTGCTGATGTTCAGGTGTATATCAGTATGTAGTGTCTCTACTTTAAAGAGTCCTCTCCTGCTGATGTTCAGGTGTATATCAGTATGTAGTGTCTCTACTTTGAAGAGTCCTCTCCTGCTGATGTTCAGGAGTATATCAGTATGTAGTGTCTCTACTGTGACATGTCTCCATTCTTTAATGTCTTAAATGTCTTTATTAACAGCTTCCAGAAACATTTATTGACACAATTAGTTTGATGTTTTTGTTGTAGTACTCATTTTGGCCACAAGAGGCTGAAGTGCACAACTACCCTGTGTTCTAAATATCCAGGCTTTCATTCAGGTGATTTCATACATGCATACATCACCAAAATAACTGTGTTTTTGTAAAGCAGGAAAAGGCATTTTTCTCATACTAATGTGCACTATTTAGGAAATGCAGATGGACCCTCTGATTACAGATGGGATAGCTCACTTTGTGGAGTGATTACAATGAGCATCTGTTGCAGCGTCGATCATAAAGGAGCTCGTGATGCTTGTAAAATAAAAACCCTGCTGGCAAGAAAACCTAAGTGGAGATGTGTCAGAAAACCCATGCAGTTATTTAATATCCAAACCAATTATTCATGTTATTTTATCCCCTTTTTCGCCAAATCTTTATAATAAAAAACCCCTCCATCAGTGTTTGAGTTTGACATTCTCGCTGTCCGTTATCGTCTATGATAGCCCGGCATTTTGTACGATTTATGATCAGAACTTATTTTTTTGTCCGTGTCACACATCTAAACCAGATGTTAAGTCTGTGGTTTCCTCATTTGTGTTTGGTTTGTTTTGAAACTCACAAACAGGCACGTAGCATCACAACACACACACACACACACACACACACACACACACACACACACACACACACACACACACACACACACTGAAAGGCTTTTAATGACATTAATACTCCCTTAATGTCACAAACACGCCACTCTGCTCTGAACCTAAGCTGAGTGGTATCCGGGATAATCCTTCTGCATTTAATACCACAGAGACAAAGTGAAACTATCATGATAACACAGCGTTTATATGAATGAGAGAGGAAGAGGAGGATGAGAGAGGAAGAGGAGGGAGAAAAAGGGAGGGAAACTCACCCGTCTGTATCCTGGAAGTTGACATTAACTTTCTTTGCAGAACCGAGGAGCTCTGAAACACAGATAAAGTGGAACATTAATGGGTTTCTGCAGCATGACAGTAATAGCTGGTCGATGATATCATAAAACAGCAATAAAGATATTATATTTATGTTTGTGTTTACAGAAACTCTGGGATGTATGACTCAAGTCTTTTTATTGGATCAAACAGGAAGTTATTAAACCTCCAACATTCAGAGAGTTCGCCCACAGGTGGAGGTCGGTTCGTCACGAGGGGAGTGTGAAGGGGTCGGGTTGGAATAAAGCACACAGCCAACATTTTTATTTCTACGCAACACATCTCAGTTTGGGACTAATAAAGTACGTCTAATGTGAACTCATTATTCCTTCATTTCCTGACCTTTGATTTAATGTCAGCTGATGATGCAGAACTGAGACACACACACACACACACACACACACACACACACACACACACACACACACACACACACACACACACACACTCACACACACACACAGGACAGGACAGTCCCTGTATTGTGGGGGAGAGACGGCTCCCAGCGTCACTGAGGGAACAACATTGATTTCCTAAGAGGCTATTTCTGGATGCTAATTGCAGGGATTTTCACACACACACACACACACACACACACGCACACGCACACGCACACACCCACACACACACATATGGAGAAAGAGCTTTCAAAGGCACTGTCTACATCATGTGTGTGTGTGCAGTGAAAGGGATGTAACACCATGGATCGGCTAACATTAGCATTAGCATTAGCATTAAAATAGAGGTGTGTCGAGTTTTTGTTCAACAAGTAGAAAGTTTAGCGACGTCAGCGACAGAATTTTTTTAGGAGAGAGAAGATGGAACACATTTTTAAATAGTGACAGATAAGCGCCATACAATGACAGGCTTCTTCCAAAAAACTAACCACACACACACACACACACACACACACACACACACACACACACACACACACACACACACACACACACACACACACACACACACTCACACTATACTATACTTTACGTCTTTGTTCACATCTGTCCAGCAGTCGTTAACTCTGAACTTTTGACTCCATAACGTCATGAGGCCTTCAGACTGACCCCGGATCAGATGTGGTTCTGACATTAAGAGTCCAGGAAATAGACAGAGCCGAAACACAGGACTAAAAACACACAATATAATCTGATTGAGTCTTCAAGATCTCAAGAGCTTTGTTAGGAAAACGTTTCCTTTGATGTAATTTTCTTCACTGGTTGGTCAATGCACTTTCTCTTCGCTGCCATTCATGGATTTCCTACATTTCCCAGAATGCATTTTCAACAACGTTCAAGGAAATGTCGCTGCTATTGATTAGCTGAGCTTTCGCTAAGCTAACTGTTGCTACACCTGTCAAGCTTTCTGTTCTCAGCAAATAATGACTGCAGTTTACAATCAAACTGTGGCAGATATACTATCTAAATGTGTAATATGTATATATATCTAAATGTGTAATATGTATATATATCTAAATGTGTAATATATATGTTTTATTTGAAAAACAATATGTTTTGGACCAAGGTAGAAAAAAGAAGGCTTCTCCTTTTAAGCTGTCTGAGCAGATGTCCATTTGTTAAAACGAGCAAAATAATACTTGTACACACACACACACACACACACACACACACACACACACACACACACACACACACACACACACACACACACACACACACACACACACACACACACACACACACACACTCTCTCTCTCTCTCTCTCTCTCTCTCACACACACACACACACACACACTCGTTTCCCAGAGATGCTGGACGGCACCATTAATACATAGTCATAATAAATAGTGAAACCATGGTTATAATAAGCCGTCATAGAACACACACAACACACACACACACTCCAACACACACACGGACACACACACAAACACACACACACACACACACACACATCCATGCCCAAACCAAAACCAAAATGAATGCTTGAATGCACAGATAAAGATTACACACACACACACACACATTTAAAAGAGCACACACACTATCTGTCTCTTCCACTTTACTTTGCCCACTGTTGCTCAAATGTTGCACACACACACATACACACACACACACACACAAACACACACACAAACACACACACACACACACACACACACACACACATACACACACACACACACACACACACACACACACACACACACTGCAGGCCTTATGGAGTCTGTCTGAAAGTGACAGCGGACAGATGTGTTTCAGTCGGCCTGCAGCGTGAAGTCAGACTGAGCCGAATAAAATACACAAATACTTCACCAGATGACGGATGGAAGAAGTACTAGGATCTTGAGTAAAAGTACCAATACTACAGTGTACACATACTCTGTTACGAGTAAAAGACCTGCTAATTCAAAGTGAAAATCCTACCTAAGTGGGAAAGGACAAACATATGAGCATCAGAGCACCAAGAGGTAATGCATTAGTTTAATTAAAAGTTGTATTAATACCATACATCTGCAGAATATATATTAATAAAGCTGTAAAATAAATACTTCTTCCACACTGGCTTTAAGAGGAGTGTGTTTTTCAGACGTGTTATTTTCAGTCTGATGATTCCCTGTTTTCTCACCGCTGGCAATACTTCCTCCTCTCTGGAGACAGAAGAGCGCCGTGTCACTGCTTTACTTTACATGCTTATATAACTCTGAGTCTGTTGGACCGTCTAATAACAAGGGACTTTATCTGGTTCTTTTACACGGGATACAGATTCATTACCGTGTTAGCAATTAGCGTTAGCTCTCTGGCTTTCTCAAGTGGATCTAACAGTGTTGACATTTACTCAAGTACTGTACACATTTAATTTACTAGTATTTTACATTTCATATTTCTACTTTACACACACACACACACACACACACACACACACACACACACACACACACACACACACACACACACACACACACACACACACACACACACACACTTTATGCTTTTCCTCAACTATCTGACAGCTTTAGTTAGTATATTATAAATAAAATAAATACAAATGAATAAAATGAATAAAATAAATTAAATAAATTAAATAAATAAAATAAATTAAATAAATTAAATAAATTAAATAAATAAATAATATTTAATAATTATGATTAATGTAATTTAAATTAAAGTCATCAAAGTTTGGTCCATCTTTAAAATAAATAAAGTAAAGTTAAATGAAACTATTTAATTAATAATATTAATATATATTTATTTAATTGTATTATATTAATTGAGTATTTCTACTTTTACTTGAGATAAAGACCTGAGCACTTCCCTCTCCTCTCTCTCTCTCTGGCAGTGAGGATGGAAACTCTGACGTTTTCCTGATGTTCTGGCTCCGATCGATCTGTCCTCATTTTCTCTGTTTCCTTCACCTCATCAGACCTCTGTCTTCCTCTACTCTTCTTCTAATGACTTCCATCCCTCCAGGTCCACATGGGAAAGGTTATACGAGATGTTAACGTGTTGTTCTGCGTCATAAAATACGCCAGTAAATACCCCACTGGTGAATTTAAAAACTGCTACTAACAAGTGTTTAAAAGAGACGACTAAACGCCATCACGCCCAACATTAGCCACCTTTAGCTTAGCGGTGGTGACGTGAAGTCATGTGACCGTGCTGTAGTTCCTTTATAGCCCAACATTAGCCGCCTTTAGCTTAGCGGTGGTGACGTGAAGTCATGTGACCGTGCTGTAGTTCATTTATAGCCCAACATTAGCCACGTTTAGCTTAGCGGTGGTGACGTGAAGTCATGTGACCGTGCTGTAGTTCATTTATAGCCCAACATTAGCCACCTTTAGCTTAGCGGTGGTGACGTGAAGTCATGTGACCGTGCTGTAGTTCCTTTATAGCCCAACATTAGCCGCCTTTAGCTTAGCGGTGGTGACGTGAAGTCATGTGACCGTGCTGTAGTTAATTTATAGCCCAACATTAGCCACCTTTAGCTTAGCGGTGGTGACGTGAAGTCATGTGACCGTGCTGTAGTTCCTTTATAGCCCAACATTAGCCGCCTTTAGCTTAGCGGTGGTGACGTGAAGTCATGTGACCGTGCTTTAGTTCCTTTAAAGCCCAACATTAGCCACCTTTAGCTTAGCGGTGGTGACGTGAAGTCATGTGACCGTGCTGTAGTTCCTTTATAGCCCAACATTAGCCACCTTTAGCTTAGCGGTGGTGATGTGAAGTCATGTGACCGTGCTGTAGTTCCTTTATAGCCCAACATTAGCCACCTTTAGCTTAGCGGTGGTGACGTGAAGTCATGTGACCGTGCTGTAGTTCCTTTATAGCCCAACATTAGCCTCCTTTAGCTTAGCGGTGGTGACGTGAAGTCATGTGACCGTGCTGTAGTTCCTTTATAGCCCAACATTAGCCTCCTTTAGCTTAGCTGTAGTGACGTGAAGTCATGTGACCGTGCTGTAGTTCCTTTATAGCCCAACATTAGCCACCTTTAGCTTAGCGGTGGTGACGTGAAGTCATGTGACCATGCTGTAGTTCCTTTATAGCCCAACATTAGCCTCCTTTAGCTTAGCGGTGGTGACGTGAAGTCATGTGACCATGCTGTAGTTCCTGTATAGCCCAACATTAGCCGCCTTTAGCTTAGCGGTGGTGACGTGAAGTCATGTGACCGTGCTGTAGTTCCTTTATAGCCTAACGTTAGCTCTTTACTTCAGAAATCATAAAGTGGTGTTAATATGTGGAGATTATCCTGCTGAACTCAACGTGTAAGTATCATAAACGTTTGTTTGACACAGAGATTATTTTCTGCAATAATCCAAAATCACATGGAGGAATCTCATTTTCTCTCTGTGTGTTGAATCCTGGTTTTGACCCCCTCATCCTTTCCTGACATCATAGTAAGCAGCGCCGCCTCTGAGTCATCAAATAAGGACAGGAGCTGTGTGAGACACTCATATAAGGACAAAGAGGGTGAGAGAGGGCGAGCTGCCAACATGTACACACACACACACACACACACACACACACACACACACACAC